AAGGGATCCTGCCTCAGATAAAGGGATCCTCGCCTCAGATAAAGGGATCCTACCCTCAGATAAAGGGATCCTTCCTCAGATAAAGGGATCCTCTAAACCCTAAACCCTGAGATCATAGTCTAAAGAGGCGCTCGAGCACTGGGAGTACACGGCCTACAATGCGAACCCTGCTTCTGAGGCGTCTTTCTACTCTCTACTTCTGCTGTCTTCTCTTGGCTTCCTCAGCCTCAGTCAGGAGAGTTGCCTCTCCTCACCTTGGCCTTCGGTCACCACCTACTCTACCTCCATTCAGCTTCCTCAGCCTCAGTCAGGAGAGTTGCCTCTCCTCACCTTGGCCTTCGGTCGCCACCTACTCGTCCTCCCTTCAGCTTCCTCAGCTTCAGTCAGGAGAGTTGCCTCTCCTCACCTTGGCCTTCGGTCGCCTCCTACCTTCTCTCCTTACCTTGGGCTCAGCTCAAGCTCGGTACGGGCTCGCCCCGTCTTCTTCCTCGCCCTCGCCTTGCTCTTCCTCCATGTCTTCCTCTTCTTCGTCATCTTCCCTCATCTCCACTCGCAGTCGGTCCTTCTTGTCCACCTTCAGCGAGCAGGCCAGCACATGCATCTCTGCGAATTTACTCAGTGCTATGAACAGGAAGCTAAGAGATCGACGCTCTATGTCGTCGCTCTCCGCCTCCTGCTCAAGCTCAGCAGCTGCCGTTGCCCGTGGCGAGAACGCGCTGCCCCTCCTTGCCTTCTTGCTCTCTCCTTGCACGCGAGTCCAGCGCTTGCTCTGCAGCCACTTCCCCAGCTTCTCCTTGAGCGCGTTGCGTCCCACTCCCTGCTCCTCTGGCATCTTCGCCCACTCTCCCAGCGCCATGAACTCCAGGCTCCCCGGAGAGTAGAACGTGTCGTGGAGGTTGCCAACGGCCTTGTCCAGGACCAGCTTGATCGGCTCGCTCGTCCCTGCCTCGTTCAAAGAAGCTGCATCTTCGATGACTGCTGACAGCTCGCTGACGAGCTGCATGTCCTCTTGGCTTGACGGAGATGCTGCCTCCATTGTGATCCTCTCCAGGTCTGTAAACTCCAGCCACTCTCCCTCGCTCTCCTCCTGTCGCTGCGCTGCGTCGCTGGTGCCCCGCTGACCAGCCGCCTCAGAGTCAGGCTCCTTGTCGAAGCCGACTGCTTCGAGCTTGGTTGCTGCGCCTTCGAGATAGAAGGGCAGCTCCTTCATCATGCGTCGAGCATCCTCCGTGGAGCCGAGGAGGATGCATAGCTTGGACCCGTTCCAGGACTTGGTGTTCAAATCCTCCTCCATGTCGATGCCTTCAACGTTGATCTCGAGCCTGTTAGCGATCTCCAACAAGACTCTCTTGACTCTTGCGATAGACGTGTTGCCGCCGTTGCACAGCCCCTCCATCTCCTTCCTCGTGAAGCGACCAGATGCCGCCGTCGACTTGATGATGATCTTGATCTCCTTGCCGTCCTTGCCGCCTGCCTTCTTCTGCATCCTTGATGCCTTCTTCAACTTATTTCTGGACACAAAGCGATCAGCTGTCAACTCGACTGCGAGCGCCTCTCTGATCTTCGGGTCCTCGCTGAACAGAGTCAGGTGTACTCCCTCCATCGCTTCGCTCTCTCGGAAAGCTCGAAATGCTGTATCATTCGCCTCTGGGCAGCTCGAGGAGACGATCCACTCCACCTCCCTCTGTCTCCAGATGACGTTGGCCCCTACAGCGACGAAGCCTTTCTGACCTAAGCCTTTGTGGACTTGCTGTCCTGGCGCCCCAGCGACCAGCATGCCTGCCAGCGGCTGGAGTTGGACCGCTGCAAGGGACTGGCGCAGCAGCTGATAGCGATAGACGGCAGCTATCTCAGCCGTTGTCATGCCGCCCAAGGTTAACAGGTGGGTCAGCTCTGCCAAGCTGCCCCCTTTGCCCCAGGGTCCTCTCTTGGCTCGAATCTTGAAAGATCGATCGTGCACGATGCTCACATGTACAGCTGTGAACTTGCGACCATCGATCGCGAAGTCCTCTCTTCCCTGCCAGAGCTTCTCCGCTTGTGCATTTCGGAGGAAGGAAACAGTCACCGGGATCTCCTCAGCACTCGCTATCTCGGGTCTATACGGAGCCTTCCACATGATTGCTTTACTCTCTTGCACTGAGTCTACGATCAGTCCGATCTCTTCGAATTTCTTCTTTAGCTTTTCTTCATGGTTGACATACACCGAGGAGATGCCCAGGAGAGTCATGGAGATGAAGGAAGTTACCTCGTTGCCTGCTGAGGCGGTGTATGTCTCGACCTTCTCCTTCTTGGCTTCCTCAATCTGCTGCATAAACCACTCTCTGGATGCGTCACTCCATCCAGTCATCGCTTCTTGCAGAAGCTCACGTCGTGCCTGCTGACATGTCGAGCGGATGGCTTCTGCGATAGCGTCGGGGGTGCATCCCTCCACAGCCTTGCAAGCCTGGGCTGTCCTGCTGTTCGGATAACGCTTCGCGAAGCTCTTCACCCTCTCGACGAGATCAGCTTCGAGGACAGAGGCATCCACAAGTCCGCTCTGCGTGTATTGGCATGATCTCCGATACAGCAGTTTGCGAACATTTTCATCATACTGAAGAACCATACTTAGAAAGCTATTTGAAGTATACAAACCTCTCGCTTGCAGCTTCCTTGGCGCCCTGGCAGCTTCCCCTACACCACGCGTGCAGCCATGGTGCCTGAATAACCGGCGCTGCCTAAACCCTAAACCCTAAACCCTAAACCCTAAACCCTAAACCCTAAACCCTAAACCCTAGTAGTAGTAGTAGTTGAGTTTATTAGAATGCTAGGTAGTTTGCATGGTTTGTTATCACCTTGCACTATTCTAGTCTAACAGGGATCTCGTGACCTGGCAGTTCGGCCCGACTTGGCTGGCCCTTATGGCAGCCGTGCTTCTGCTCTGCTCCCTCCTCTGCTATACTTCAGTGGTCTTCCCCGGCCTCAGCCAGTGGAGTTTCCTCCGCCGGCCTTGGTCTGGGTCGTCCGTGCTTTCAACTTGTGTTGCTTCCTCGGCTCCGACACCCCTTGACGGTCTCGGCCGGCCTTCGGCCAGTGAGTGGATGAAGGATGGGTTGGTAGGTGGAATGCGTATGGGTCCCTGGGACTCACGTCCCTTCCCCGGGGCCTCGGTCCGGACCGGGCCCGAGAGCCCGGCCGGCCTCCGCCCGGCCTCCTCCTCCCGGCCCCCCTCCCCCTCTCCCACCGGCTTACCTGCCCTTACCTTCGTTGCTTGCCCCATGTCCACCTCATTTATTTCTTCCTCCTTCCCCCCATGGGGCCAACAGCTCCGCTCCGCCTCTTGTCCACCTCTAAGACTTGACTCGAGCCTCAAGCGCGCGAGGGGCCTGCACCGGCCTCCTCCTCCTCGCCCTCGCCCTCCTCAGCCTCCATGTCGACTTCCTCCCTCATCATCAGCCGCAGTCGGTCTTGCTTGTCGACCTTGCCCGTGCAGCTCAACCCATGGTTCTCAGCAAATAAGAAACAAGAGGCTTACAGATCGACTCTCGATGTCATCGCTCTCGGCCTCCTGCTCGAGCGCATCAGTCGCTGCTGCCCTTGGAGAGAAGGCGCTGCCCCTCCTCGCTGCCTTGTTCCCTTGCACCCGAGTCCAGCGCTGCTCGCCGAGGTACGCTCTGAGCTTTTCTTTCAACATGTTTCGCTTCGATCCCAGCGTCGGCGTGGCTGCCCAAGCTCCGAGCGTCATGAACTCCACGTTGCCCGGCGAGCAGAAGGTGTCATGCAGCTTGCCAACACTCTTGTCTAGCTCCAGAGAGATCGGCTTGCCAGCTAGCAGCTCCTCCTCTGATGTCTCCAAGAGCATCGTCGAGAGGTCGACCAAGACCTGTTGATCGACTGGCCCTGACGGCGACGCTGCTTCCATGGTGATCCTGTCGATGTCGCTGAGCTCCAGCCATCCAGCGCCTTGCTGCTGCCCTTGGGGCTCTTGGGCTTGCTCCTCGCTGCTCGGGCTCCTCTCCTCCTCATGCTGAGGCCCGTTGAGCTTGAACCCCACCGCTTCGAGCTTGACTTCCAGGATCCCTTCCAAGTAAAAGGGCATGTCGTCCATCAGGCGTCGAGCGTCTGCCTTGGTCGCCAGGGAGAGAGCTATCGAGCTTCCGTCCCAGCTGAGCGTGTCACGATCCTCCTCGACCTCGACGCTGACCGGCGTCACGCCTATCCTTCTTGCTAACTCCAACATGGCTCGCTTGACTCTCGTGATCGATGTGTTACCTCCTCCGCACAGCGCTTCCATCTCCTTCCTCGAGAAGCGGCCTGTGCTCATGCTTGACCTCGACTTGATCTGCACTCTGAAGCTGCTGCGCCCCGCATGATCTCTCTCGCGAAGTGCCCTCCTCTGCTTGGCGATCTTTCCCCTAGGAACGAAGGTGTCGGCTGTGAGCTCGACTGCAAACGTCTCTCTGAGCTTGGCGTCGTCGCTGATGAGAGTGAGATGCACCCCCTCCATCGCCTCGCTCTCTCTGAACGAGGCCAAGGTCTGCTCGCAACTTGCCGTCGAAGGCGAGCTGAGCACCCACTCCAGCTCTTTTTGCTGGAGAGTTCCCGTACTTGCCCCAACAGCGACATACGTCTTCGGGCTCGGCCCCTTGCGACCTCTCTGCCCAGCACCCTGCACGAGCATGCCTGCAAGCGGTTGTACCTCTGCGGCTGCAAGAGATTGCGCAGATTTTTTCAATCTCATTTCGGGAGAACTTCCCTGACGGCACAGGAGAGGAGCTAGGAGCTGTGATAGCTCGGCAAGGCTCCCTCCCTTGCCCCAAGGTCCTCGCTTGGCTCGAAGCTTGAAGGACCGGTGCAGCGCCGTTGCTTCCATCTGCACTGAGAACCATTTCAGTATTTTGTCATTCTCTGAGACCAGTCCCAAAGTGACTCCTGCACGATCCTTTCCATGTCGATCGAATGCTTGAAGAACGATGTCCGCTGCTTCAAGGCTCGAGCACGTTGCGATCCAGTCGACCTCTCTGTTCTGGTTGACTGTTTCTATTCCTACCGCAGCGAACACCTTCTTTGGCGGTAGGTTCCTCTTGGGGGGGAGGTTCACTGTCATTCCCGCGTTTGGGATCAGATCAATGATCGCTAATCCCTGCTTCAGGCATAGCTGCCTGTAGATCTCACATATGTCACCTGTGCTCGAATCGTTGAGCCTCAGGAGTTGGGCCACCTCAGCTAGGATTCCAACTCTGCCCATGTTCTCCTTCTTTGGCCGCATCTTGAACGAGATCGGTGGGTTGGCTGCTGGGTTCACTGCTAGAATTTATGGGGAGGTTTGAACC